AGAGGAAGTAGAGGGAAGAAAAGATACCCAAAAGGAACAAGAGATGAGAGTGAGCCCAGAGAGTGGGCAGGCATGTACCTCTGTGAGCCAGAGGGAAGTAGCTGCTCACGAAGGGAAGGGGCCTGTCCTCCGGATGGAAGGGGGAAAAAGAAAAGGGGTGGGGTTACTGGAGCCCCTCACTGCCCCCCATGTCCCAACCCCATCTCACCCCTACACACCCACCCACCTACCCATACTCTGACCTATCTCATGCCGCAGCATGCCCTCCAACCAATACTGGCGGGCTCCAGTCAGGTTGATGGCCAATGTTGGTCGGCTGTTCTCCACCATCATCACTGCCTGGGACAACAGGTCCTCACTCAGCTGCACCACAACCTGTAAGTGACAGTGCCCTGAACCATGGACACCAGCTCTGGGGCCAGTGTGCAGGTAGACCCACTGATGTCACAGGGAAGCCAGGTTGGACACTTGGCCAGGACTCCCACCCTTTCCCACCTCTGCTCAGTGGCAGCTCCCACCTTCCTGGGGCAGGGACAGGGACAGGGACAGGGACATGGGCTTGCCTGTGGTCACTAGCTCCAACAGTGTGGAGCTGGGCCTAGCACTACCAACTTGGCAGCCTGGTTTGGGGCATGTGGAAAAGGGGTCTCACAGGCAGGGCAAGCTCACCTCCCCGACACAGCCCTCCTTCTGCATGTATTTGCGCACAATGGACCAGATCTGGCACTTGGTCAGCAGCTGGCCCCCAGTCGCAGCCTCAAAGTGTTCATAGGTGCCAAACTTCTCCAGGACAGCCTCAATGATGCCAACTGCCTGCACAAAGGGCCACAGTAGTGGGTAAGGTGAAGTCTCTCAGATGGTCAGAGCCAGGGTGAGGTGGGCAATCTGGACTGACCTGATGGATGAACTGTCCAGAGGCCTCACAGTACTTCTCCAGCACAGCCGTAGGCATGGGCTCCTGGTACTCGAACTGTGGATTGTAGGTGTACTGGGACTGGAAGAACTTGTCCCGCTCATAGTCCATGTTGGTTGGCCGCAGAGCCACCAACATGCAGGGGCTCTTGCTGGCACCACGGCCTGCATCCTTTCGAGTCTTAGCAATGTGAGGCAGGGAGGCCGCAGACCGCAGGGTGCCCCCACCTGGGTTCCGGCCTCGTCCAGGTGGGGCCCGGCCCTGGGTGCCGCTCCCCCGCCGACCAGCACTGTTTATGGTGTAGGTGCTCTCACTGCGACGCATGTGGCCTTGGTGGCCCAAGTCCAGCTTTGAGAAGGGCTGCAGCTCAGGCCTGGGCCGGAGGGCTGAGGGGACAGACACAGCCTGGGGCAAGGCCAGAGACTGAGGCCAGGGGTACAGTGCTGTCCCATTTTGGTCTGAGGGCTTCAGCCTACGGCCCAAGGATGAGGGACTGGCTGGCGGGCTGGGGGGAGTCTGCTCATACACCTGAGCCCCTGAGTCCAGCACCATTCTGTTCTGGGGGTCACATCCAGCTGGATCACTCCAACTCCCCACACTGTTGACTTCTGGGGACACAGAAAGGCATATGGAGGCCAACATGAGTGAGTGTGGCATGAGGACCAGCAGGCCCTGTGCGCCACACTGTCTTTGCCCGGCACTTGATGGGCCCAGAACCTGATGCCAGGTCTTCTTCATCTGCCCTCTTACCTCCATCCCACTGCCTACCCCTCCAGCAGGCTCATCCAAGCAAGCTGGACTGGGGCAAAGCTGGAGGAAGAGTCTTATACATCTACCAGGATGGTGGTTACTCAAATCCCCTTAGCCTGTGAGCTCCCGTGAGCAAGGCGTAAGCACCTACTCATGATTTTAATCCCTGTGCTCAGCACCCACCCTGACTGGAAGCTGGTACAATGTAGCCTCAGCTGCTAGGATGATGGATGAGGGGATCTCACTACCTTCTACCTGCTTTCTACCTATGGCATTTTCTCAGTCTCACCCCGCCCCTCCCACCTAGCTCCACCCATCTCCTTCAGCCCATTGGGCCTCAGTTTGAATGCCTGCATGCCCCTTGCTTATGTCAGTCCCTCCACATGCAATGCTCTCTCTTCTCTGGGCCGTCTGTTCAAATCCAAATTAGAATCAGCTTTTGGTGTACAGAGGGAAAATTCAGCAAATCCAAGGCAGTCCTTGGTCTGTCCCCTATCAGAGACATCTTCCTAGTGGTCATCCAAGGCCACTGTCAGGACACTCACCCCTGAATCTGAACGGCTCAGTCCAATCCAGTCTCTCCCCAGAAACTGACTGAAGTCTCCAGCCTCCAAGCTCTCCTGCATGCTCAGGGACGCAATTCCAGCATTTCTCCTCTCTCCTTCATCTCCTACATCATCAATCTCTTCCTTTCTACTGAATTCTTCCCATCAGAATAAACACAAGCTGGGGGTGGTGGTAGCTGGGTATAGCTAAGTGATAGAGCACATGCTTAGTGTGCACAAGGTCCTGGGTTCAATCCCCAAGACCTCCATTACAAAAAAAAAAAGAGATAAACACATGCTGTCATTTTTTCATCTTAAAAAACAAAACCCTCACTTGACTCTACACTCTTCCAGCTCCACTGTTCCTCGGGGCAGCACAACACCTCGAGTCATCTATACTTGGTTCCCAATTTCTTCCTTGCTGTTCTCGCTTAAATTTCACTCCAATTAGGCCCCCCCCCCAGTCTCCATCAAAACTGATCTGACCAAGGTCACCAATGGTCTTCATCTTAATTAGTAGAACCTGACAAAATTAATCACTTAATTTTGGTTTGACCACATTCTCCACTTGGTTCCCAAATATACCGCAACTCAGTTCTCCCACCTCACTGGCTGTTTGTTCTTGGTATTCCTTTCTGGTCATCCCTATCTTCCTGACCTTTTAACACTGTAATTCCCAGGACCTGGAAACTTCTCTCCTCTTCTCCATTTATGCACACTCCCTAGGTGATCTCATCTACCCTCATGGTTTTAAATATGTGAGCCCAGATTTCTTCCAAAAACTTCAGCATTGCCAGTTCTCAATTCAACATCTTTACTTGAATGTATACAGGCATTTCAAACTGAACATGTTCCCTGTCTGGAATGTTTTCCCCCCATATAACTGCAAGGGTCACTCTCTCACTTTTCTCAGATTTCTGTACAAATATGTTATTAGAAAAGCCTGCCTAATACACCCTTTATAAAATAGGAAACCTCCCTTTCCCCACACTACTGTCCTCTGAAGCAGTTATCACTGTCTGAAGTATAGTATATGTGAAGATTAGTTATGTTTTCCCCTTTTAGGTGTTCACAGCTGTGTCTCCAGAACAGTACCTGACCCAGAGCAGTTGCTCAATAAACGAATGAACCCAAGAGCCCTTTTCTTTGTCAGAAATGGAATCATTCCTTCCCTGCACTTTTCTTCCCCATCTAGATCTGATCCCCTCCCCCTCTTCCCCACCTTCCTGCACTCTGCCTATTGATAAGCTTCTTGAAAAGATTTCAGGCTTCAGGTTTCCCTCCCCTCAACTAACTATACACTTCTCTGGATTTCTTACTGGTCTCTAAGCCTCTGTTTTTTTCAATCCTCTTCATCTCCCCTTCTTTCATTTGACCTACCTCTTTGCAATTACCAGAATATGTCTGTTTCTTTCATGTCTCAGGTCCTTCTTCCAAAAATGCCCTCCCAATGTCTCCCTACAGCAAACTCCTAACCATTCTTCAGGGCTGGGTTTAGGCCTCACCTCCTCCGGGAAGCCTTCCCAGCGTCTTAGAGGCTCCCAGTGCCTAGGCGGCTTCTTTACCACCCTAGGCTGTCACTGTCGGAACCTAGGTCCATGTCCCCTAACATCCCCTGAACTTCCTGAGGGCAGTGACGGGTCTGATTCACCTCCATGACCCAAGCACCCAGGCCTATACGCAGAATGAATGAAAGATGGCTGTGGGAGGAGCCCATATTGAAGGCGGTGTCTGGTGACAAATAAGAGGGTGTGACCTGCACCAATGAGAAACTCCGGGAGAGGATAACGTGGAAGGGGAGCCAATGGGGACGGGGAGATCGAGGAGGGG